TGAACATTCATCCTTCAGGTCCTCTCCCCAACCTTCTTTTCAACCAGAAGAACAAAATTGTGTTCCTTGGCCCTTTGTCTTATATCATGGCTGAAGGGGAGTTTGAACCTCTAGGAACATTCCCTGTCATTTCCTTCTGGCTTTCTACCTCACAATCTCTAGTCCCTTTCCTTCTATTGGAGGGGAGGAGTTCGAGCTGTGTGTTGATTTCCAAGCTGTCCTGTCTCCACGCGCCATTTCTAAGTTTGAGGTATGAGTAGGTGTCCCCTCCTTTATATAGATGCTGCTGGCATAGGCTTTGCAGTTTGTCCTTTGTTTGATTTGGTGAAAAGGATGATTCTAAAACCTCAAAGTACTTGGCCATCTTTTTCTGAAAGCCCAGGGCTTAGAGTGTACTAGAGTATGTTGTTTTTGACCATGCTACAGTACAGAAGAACCAAGCACTGACTCTGTGTAATATTTAGAGCTTTACGTACATTGCCTCATTTATTTCTCTCAACACCCCCGAGAGGCATAGAGGTCTACTTTTAGCTCACTTTTACAGGCTTTGAAAGGTTAAGAAACTTCTCCTAGCTTACACAATGAGCAAGCAGCAGAATTTCATATTCTCATTTATAAAATGAAGGGTTTAGATTAGATATGGTTTCCTTTCCAGCTCTGTGGTTGTTTGAATCTATGATTTCAGCTGAACTCCAGAGGATAGGCAGTATTTGAATAAGAATTAGTATACACCGAGCACTTACACACGACAGGGTTTTAAGCACATTGCTTGGATTATCTAATTTACTCTTCACAACACCCAATGAGGTAGGTACTATTATCATTCCATTTTACAGATGAGGAAACATGGGCACAGGGACGTTAATAGCTAGAACATGACAGTGCTAGGAATTGAACCCAGCTGACTTACTCTAAAGCCTTTGAACTTAACCACTACACATCTTTCCTCTGAAGGGGTTAATGGGTGACTAGGTAACAAGGATAAGAATTCAAATAGGAAAAAAATTAAGTATTATGAAATATTTGCATTTGTAGTGTTACTGATGGGTTCAGTGGAAAACTGTGGGTTCATTTATCTTTGTACCCACAACATCTAACACACTACTGGCACACAGAAAGCAACTAATAAACATTTAATAAATGAATATAGCAATCTCCTTTACTTTCTGCATTCTCCAACATTGCTTACTTATTTTAGCTTTTGCTACTCGTAATATACACCACCACCCCCAATATTAGCCAGTGGAGCCCTGGTGGCTCAGTGATTAAGAGCTATGGCTGCTAACCAAAAGGTCGGCAGTTCAAATCCACCAGCCACTCCTTGGAAATCCTATGGGACAGTTCTACTCTGTCCCATAGGGTCACTATGAGTCGGAATCGACTTGATGACAACAGGTTTTATATTATTCAATAAACTTACTTGCATAGTTATTCCATTTTTTAAAAAATCAAAAGAACTAATAGTAAAATGTCCTTATATGTGAAGACCAGAGGGGATTTTCCAGCACTGAATGGTTCCCCAAGAAAATAAAGCAGTTCCACCTTCTCCGGCGCCCTCTAGTGCTTTGTAGCCTCAACTTAAAGTTCTGATGCTTCCAAGCGTTGTGAGGGATGTGAAACTGAAATTGAAATTTAGTTTTGTGCATTGGTCAAGCACACATTCAAGAGTTGAGAAAATATAAAGGAGAATCGGATTTATTTTCTGCATTGTAAACACACACACGCATTCACCCTTACAGACCAAACTTCTGTTTTCTCGCTCTGCATGTTACTCTAACCAGAGCTCATGTCAGGAATTGTAAAATAACCTGTTACCTGTGTTTTCCCAGTCTTCACAAGCCTATAATTTCCCTTGTCAGCTTGAATTTCCTTCGGCTATTACTCGTAGATATTCACACAACCCCCTGTAAATACATGTGTATGTTTTTTGGAAGTGTGTCTCACATGTGTTATTTGGCAAAACTTCTTTCATTGATCTCTCTCTCTCTGCCTTCCTGAGGCCAAGGCTCTGAATTTCCTGAGAGGTTAAAGCTGCAGGAAGTTAGTTCCCTTTGGGAGAAGAAAGCATACTCTTTCACCTCCTCTTTATTCAGAGGGGCTCTCCAAGCAGTGCTGCTTCTTCCCCAATGTCTTCTTTACTGAAAGAGTGTTTCAGTTTTTCAAGTCCCCCCTGCTCACCACAGGACTCTTACATGCACCCATTGGAAAGTAATACAGGTCAGGAGGTAAATGCAAGTGACAAATACCACATTGTCTTTGAATCACCCTCCTTTCTAATGACTAAATCTCTTTTTTTGGTTTGAACTTGCGTGCCTGGATTCTTCTTTTCTGAGTGCATTTTCTCCCAAGAAGCTCTTTAGACTACTGCAAGTAGACTTTGGATGGAAGGCTATCCTGCAGCTGGATAAATAGGTTTGGATATTTCAGAGTCTTAGTTAGACTTAAGCAGGAACTTTCATTCTATTTCCCTGAAATGGAATAATTAATGATGATATAAAAATTATTAATAATAGCGGTTGATTCTCTCAAAGCTAGTGTCTCTTCTCTCTGAACTTCAGTTTTCTTACCTGCAAAACGAGGATTATAGTATTACTTACTTCATAGGAGATTTACGAAAATTGAAAGGTTGTATGTAAAGCACTCAGCATTGTATTTAGCACATTCAGTGGTTAGTATGCCTGGGCAGGGAGACCAGTTATACCGATGAGCAGGGGCAGATTAACCAGTAAGCAAGGTAGGAACGGGTTTACTTGTGTTTATTTACTAATCTGTAGTACAAACCCATGAGAAATATAGTGAGAGCTGGAATTACACCAGTGGCAGCGGCCATTAAAAATAAAGAGCATGAGAGAAATATTTGAAGGCAGATAGAACGACGGGAATCTGGAATGTGGAAACGGAAGGAGAGAAGAGTCAAAGGGCACAGGCGGATTTCTGACTTGAGAAAGGAAGGGTGAAAGATGTGTGTGTGTTTATATAGTGACCCCAAGGGAGCCAAAGGGCTGGTTTTGTTTTGTTCCGGTTTGGGGTGGTGAGGTTCCGTTTTTTTGATGGAGTGAGTTTAGAAGAAGACGGCCAACACACAATTGAAAATCGAGGTCTGGGGTGTCAGGGAAGATGGAAGTCTGGGGAAGTGCACTGGCTGAAGCCTTGGATGTGGGTGAGTTCAGCCCAGGTAGTGTGTTAAGAAGATTGCCGGGGAGAGGACCCTAGAGCTTCCCAACGTTTAGGAAGAGACCTTAGCGCTGGATACCTAGCCAGGCGGCTGTTCTTACGCCCGCTTCGCGGCGCCGCAGCCTCTGCCCGGCCCCGCCTCCCTGCGCGGGGGGAGGCAGCACGCGACGAAGTCACCCGCAAGACTAGGCCAGGTGGGCGCGGGCGTCACTGCCTCCCGCCCCTCGGCAGACCGGAGGAGGGGCGCCTGCCGGCTGGGGCGAGAGGCGAGAAGCCGCAGAGAAGGCGGGCTGCCCAGATGCCCGGCGGCGCGGGGCTGATTGCCGCGGCTGTGACGGCTCTGGTGGCCGCCTTGCTTCTGCTGCGGCAGGAGGATTCGGGGTCGGGGGCTGGCTCCAGGGAACCGCCTCCCCGACTCTTGTGGGCGGAGGAGGTGGGTCCTGATGAGCCGAACCCGGAGGCTTCGTGGGGTAAGGGGCCTCGTGGATCCTTCTATTTATGACACCTGGGCACGCCTTCCTGTCCTGGCCCCTTCTAATGTGTGGGTTGGCTCAGGTGCGGAGGATCGCCACGGCGCCTGCCCCGCCCGCGGTGACTCGGCACTTTCTCCTGGTACCGGACTGGAGAATAACAATGTCTTCCTCCCAAACAGGTCAACAACCCTTGTTCCCGGGGTGAGGACGGGCCGTCCTTTAACAACCCGTCGATGGCAGAGACGCTACCTAACCTTCAGGAAGACTTCAGGATGCAGAATAAGTCTGTCTTTATTCTGGGGGCCAGCGGGGAAACCGGCAAAGTGCTCGTAAAAGAAATACTGGAGCAAAGCCTGTTTTCCAAAGTCACGCTCATTGGCCGGAGGAAGCTCACCTTTGAGGAGGAAGCTTATAAAAATGTGGTGAGTGTTTGAGCTGGGACCCCAAGTGATTCTGCGGGGGAACGTATTTCATGTGTAAAGGCCAGTGGTGGAGGTACCCGCAGGTGGTCAGAATTTGTGCAGGATTGGTCTATGAGAGCCCTGACTGGAAGCTGGAGTTCCAGATGTAGGCCCAGGTCTGCCTCATCACATCACCATGTGGCCTTGTTTGAAGCCCTTCTCCCTGTCTAGACCCTTATAAAGGGGGCCTAGGCAGTATGGGGGCTGGCTAGACACAAAAGAGCACTGTTTTCAGGGCCATACAGTCTTGATTCTACAAACAGTTCTATAACCTTAGGCAATTTGCTCAACCGCTTTGTTTTGTTTACTTGCCCACTCCACACTAATGTTGTCTGTGAATCTGAAATTGCAGATGTGGGAAAGGCCTGTGACAGTGAAAGGTGGAGTTATTCACTTAAAAGAATTTGCCTTGCCGTACTTCCCAGGACTTCTGTCTGTAACAGGAATATTTTCCTCATTGTAAATTATGCTTTCATGGTTAAGCAGATGATACACCAGACTTTGATCTGGTGATTAAAAAAAAAATTGAGTTGACTCCAATTCATGGAGATCCCATGTGTGTCAAAGTGCAACTGTGCTCCATAGGGTTTTAAATGGATTTTTTCTAATAAGTAAATTGTCAGGCCTTTCTTCCAAGGTACCTCTGGGTGGACTCAAACGTCCAATTTTTCTGTTAGCAGCTGAGTCTGAGCTTCATGTAGATAGATTCCTTTCTCCCTTTAAACTGTTATCTGTGAACTGCAGCAAATTAAACAATATGGTGCGATCCTGAGACATTGTAACTACTGAACTTGGTCCCACAGGTTTCAGAGGAGGAACATTCCAAAAAACAAATGGTCATGCAAAAAGATGTTTTGTAATTCCTGCAGTTCCATGTGCATGTCATTTTGCATATATGTCTTTGGCCTATCAGGATTTGCCTGTTGAGTAGATAATTTGTCTTTTTCATAGTCTAGCTTCATGGGTCATGTCAGATACTCCTGATAATTAGAAAGTGAAACTGAGTCCCATGCGTTGAGAGTTAAGTTTTGGTGGCATATCTTTTGACTGGGCACTTTGTGAAAAGCTGTTTTTCTTCAGCATTGTGTACAGTGCCAGGAAATTGTGTACAGAGCTGATGGTAGAGAAGGAAAGCAACATTTTATTTGAACTCCTGGGTGATAGGAACCTTTCATAAATTTTCTTCTTCAATTCTCCCAAAAAACTTACAAGGTTAGGTGAAGGTTTCTAAATTTCAACGTGCATGAAAATCTGTTAAAAGTGCAAATTCTGATTCAGAAGTATTCAGGTGGGACCAGGGGATATCAAGCACCCCCTGGTTGATTCTAATGCAGGTGATCCATGGATTGGCCTGAAGGAAAAGTTATCATCCACAGTTTTATAACTGCAAAAACTGAGGCATATGATAAAAGACTTTGCCATGATTACATGGCTAGTAAGTTGCAGGGCCAAGATTTGAACCTAAGTGTTTGACATTCCAAACACCATCCCTTTCCCCCACATTATACCATATTGGCTTCTTCCTGATAAGATACAGAAAAGTTTTTTATTTTTCCAGAGAGAAATTTATACTTAAACTTACTTTAGAAATCTAGATCACCCCTAGTTCAGTTATTTGTATCATGGGCCTATAAGTGCATTGTTGATTTTTAATTCAGGTTTAATTGCTTCTTAGTGGGAGAAAGTGAGATTGCAAAATTTGATGTTAAGTGGATAGACCTGTCAGCATTTTCAGATTCACGGACATTGGTGTGGAGTGGGCAGGTAAATGAAAAAAAGTGGTTGAGTGAATTGTTCAAGGTTATAGGTCTCTGTAACCTTGATGTGAAATGGACTGGTATTGGCCATTTTGAATCCGACAATCATATGGTCTACTATGTCAGGAGTGACAAATTGAAGGGAAATGGCATCACATTCACTGTCAAAAAGAACATGTCAAGCAAGACCCATCCTGAAGTACAATGCTGTCAGTGATAGGATAGTATACACATGCCTACAAGGAAGACCAGTTAATGTGACTATTATTCAAATTTACACATCAACCAACAATGCCAAAGATAAAGAAATTGAAGATTTTTACCAGCTTCTGCAGTCTAAAATTGATCAACTATACAATCAAGATGCATTGATAATTACTGGTGATTGGAATGGGAAACAGTCGGAAACGATGAAGAAAGGTCGGTATTTGGAAAATATGGACTTGGTAATAAAAAAGATGCTGGAGATTGCATGATAGAACTTTGCAAGACCAATGATTTATTCATTGCAAATACCTTTTTTAAACAACATAAAGCATGACTATACACATGGACCTTGGCAGGTAGAATACACAGGAATCAAATCGACTACATCTGTGGAAAGAGATGATGGAAAAGCTCAATATCAGTCAGAACAAGGCCAGGGGCCAACTGTGGAACAGACCATCAACTGCTTATATGCAAGTTGAAGCTGAAGAAAAAACAAGTCCATGAGAGCCAAAATATGACCTTGAGGATATCCCACCTGAATTTAGAGACCATCTCAGGAATAGATTTGACACATTGAACACTAATGACCAAAGACCAGATGAGTTACGGGATGACATCAAGGATATCATACATGAAGGAAGGAAAAGTTCATTAAAAAGACAAAAGAAAACAAAAACCGAAATGGATGTCAGAAGAGACTCTGAAACTTGCTCTTGAACGTAGAGTAGCTAAAGCAAAAGGAAAAATGATGAAGTGAAAGAGCTGAACAGAAGATTTCAAAGGGCAGCTCAAGACGACAAAGTAAAGTATTAATGAAATGTGCAAAGACCTGGAGTTAGAAAACCAAAAGGGAAGAACATGCTCGGCATTTCTCAAGCTGAAAGACCTGAAGAAAAAATTTATCCTCGAGTTGCAATACTAAAGGATCCTATAGCCAAAATATTAAACAATGCAGGAAGCATCAAAAGAAGATAGAATGAATACACAGAGTAACTGTACCAAAAAGAATTGGTTGATGTTCAACCGTTTCAGGAGGTAGCATATGCTCAACAACCGGTGGTACTGAAGGAAGAAGTCCAGGCTGCACTGAAGGCATGAGTGAAAAACAAGGCTCCAGAAACTGATGGAATACCAATTGAGATGTTTCAACAAACGACTGAAGTGCCAGAAGCGCTCACTCATCGGTGCCAAGAAATTTGGAAGGCAGCTACTGGCCAACCAACTGGAAGAGATCCATATTTATGTCTGTTCCAAAGAAAGGTGTTCCAACAGAATGCGGAAATTATCAAACAATATCATTAATATCACACGCAAGTAAAATTTTGCTGAAGATCATTCAGAAACATTTGTAGCAGTACATCTACAGGGAACCGCTGGAAGTTCAAGCCAGACTTAGAAGAGGACGTAGAATGAGGGATATCGTTGCTGATGTCAGATGGATCTTGGCTGAAAGCAGACAGTACCAGAAAGACATCTACCTGTGTTGTATTGACTATGCAAAGGCATTAGACTATGTGGATCATGACAAATTATGGATAACATTGCGAAGAATGGGAATTCCAGAGCACTTGATTGTGCTCATGCAGAACCTGTACATATACCAAGAGGCAGGAACAAGGGGATAGTGCATGGTTTAAAGTCAGGAAAGGTGTGCATCAGGGTTGTATCGTTTTACCATACTTAATTCAATCTGTATGTTGAGCATATAATCCGAGAAGCTGGACTATATGAAGAAGAAAGTGGTATCAGGATTGGAGGAAGACTCACTAAACAACCTGTGATACGCAGATGACACAACCTTGCTTGCTGAAAGTGAAGAGAACTTGAAGTACTTGCTGATGAAGATCAAAGACTGTACACCCTTCAGTATGGATTATACCTCAACATAAATAAAACAAAAATTCTAACAACTGAACCAATAAGCAACTTCATGATAAACGGAGAAAATATTGAAGCTGTCAAGGATTTCATTTTACTTAGATCTACAGTCAACACCCATGGAAGTAGCTGTCAAGGATTTCATTTTACTTAGATCTACAGTCAACACCCATGGAAGTAGCAGTCAAGAAATCAAACGATGTTGAGTGCACTGAGCAAATCTGCTGCAGAAGACCTCTTTCAAGTTTTAAAAAGCACAAAGATGTTACTTTGTGCACTAAGGTGCGCCCGACCCAAGCCATGGTATTTTCAGTTGATTCATATGCATGCGAAAGCTGGACAGTAAATAAGGAAGACTGAAGAAGAATTGATGCCTTTCAAGTATGGTGTTGGTGAAGAATATTGACTATACCGTGGACTCCCAGAAGAACAAACGCATCTGTTTCGTAAAAAGTACAGCCAGAATGCTCCTTAGAAGCAAGGATGGTGAGGCCTATCTCACGTACTTTGGACATGTAATCAGGAAGGATCAGTCCTTGGAAAAGGACATCATGCTTGGAAAGTAGAGGGTCAGTGAAAAAGAGGAAGACCCTCAACGAGATGGATTGACATAATGGCTGCAACAGTTGGCTTAAAGATAGCAATGACTGTGAGGGTGGTGTGAATCGGGCAGGGTTTTGTTGTACATAGGGTTGCTATGAGTCGGAACTGGCTCAGCGGCACCTAACAACTACAACAACAGGACTATTTCTGGAATCAAGATTGTATGGCCCAGATTATGGCTTTGTAATTTATTCTTTAAACCTAGAGTGATGTTTTGTCTATCTTTTAATAACATTAAGTTATATACAACTATCTCCTTGTTGTCTAGAACCAAGAAGTGGTGGACTTTGAAAAGTTGGATGACTATGCGTCTGCCTTCCAAGGTCACGATGTTGGATTCTGTTGCCTGGGCACTACCAAAAAAAAAGCCGGGGCGGTAAGGAAGAAACCCTTTTTTCTTCTTGCTGACCAGTAATGTCAACGATTCCTTTCTTGCTTACTCTTTTTCTGTGTGCCTGCTGCAGTGCTTACTTGTAAATAAGTTCTTATTGTTTAAAATTCCATGTGCTGCCCTAACCTTACTGTACTTTGAATAGTACTGAAAAGTTTGTTGTCTTTCCTTCAAGGAAATCCTTGAGTTCAGGCCTGAGGGCTGGAGACATCGTTAAGTATATATACAGTCTTCTTCTTGCAAATACTGCTGTCACTGTATCCTCTGACTAAGACAAACCATTACCACCACCACCATTTGCCATCAAGCCAATTCCGACTCATGGTGACCCCATATGCGTCAGAGTATAACTGTACTACATATAGTCTTCAACGGCTGATTTTTTGGAAGTAGATTGCCAGGCCTTTTTTCAGAGGTGCCTTTGGGTGGACTTGAACCACCAGCTTTTCAGCTAACCTTTTGCACCACCTAGGGACTCCTAAGGCAAACCATTACATCTGAGCAAAAGCAACTGGCTCGTGCTGTTAGCAGTAAGCTCTTTTTTTCCCCATTTATAAATATTTTAAACCTGAATTGTTCTCCCTCACTTGAGTGATTTGCTTCAACCTATTTTCATGCCAAGCTTTAAACTTCTGGGATAGAACATCAGACCACAGAGGCATGATTCAGCCAGCCTCCAGCAATGACTCAGCCTCCAGCGATGATTCAGCCTGTAGTGACGCAGAACTGTTCTAACCCACATTTTATTTTCTTTTTAATGATGTTCTAAAGTGAGTCGGCCCCTGTCCCAAAGTCATAGTTTGCTACATAGTTAGAAGTCATCATTTACTACGTAGATCCTCGGCAAGCATTAATATATCTTATTTATACCTTCACTATAGTTTATCCCTTTGGCAGAATTTACTTGCTGGAGCTGAACATATCTATTAAATATGCAGGATCACGATTTGGCCGTGGGGGCTCACCAGTAGTTTATAAACCAGGGCCGTGCATCATAATCATTAGGGAGCACATGGTTGAGAACTACTTGTTTATACCAACCAAAGAGTCAGGCTAAGATATATTTCCCTGGGCCTCCTTATCCGTTCCTGGTGATCCAAAGAAGTCCATTTATGCTTTCAGTAGGGATGCATTTCCAAATCCTCTGTAGTTCTGCATGCCTACGCTGGAACACAGCTGGGCTTTGAGCTCTGTGCTGGGGAGTGTAGATTATCGAGAAGTTTGCCTCTCCCAGAAACTGGCACATAACCTCTCCTAGAAAAGGACATTTTCCTGCTCAGCAGCTAGTGCAGTCTTTTTCTGTCCCAGGCACACAATGGTATGCCCTCCAAAAGCACACAGACTTTTGTGCTAATACACTGCAGGTTCACTGTCGCAGGTGCCAACCTGATTTGTGTGGTGACTCAGCAAAATAAAAATTCTGCATTAGGCATAGAGCAGTTGATTTCCTGACATAAGGCCAATCACATTATGGAGCGCTCCAGGGGAAGGTCCGAATTGCTTTGTTCCATTTAAATTGTGTAATGCAATTTTAATCAGGAATTGGGTGTCTTCACTATCCAGAATATTGTTTTCAGAATATATTTTTAAAATGGGGATGGTTCCCCACCCCTTAGGCTACTCAACACCCTTTTGTTCTCCTTCAAAATCAGTTTGAAAGATAAAAAGTAATAAGTAAAGGAATAGACTGGTAAGCCAAATATAATCTCAGAAATGAAAACCAAACCAACTCATTGCCACTGAGTTGGTTCCAACTCATGGTGACCCCATGTGTTACAGAGTAGAATTGAGCTCCATAGGGTTTTCTTGGCTGTAATCTTTACGGAAGCTGATCACCAAGCCTTTCTTCCACGGCACCACTGGTTGGGTTCGAACTGCCAGCTATCCCATTAGTAGCTGTGTGCAAACCGTTTGGGGCTTAAATGGCTTAAGAGATTAGCAACAGAAAGTAACCTGACTTTTCCTCCATAAAAAGTTTTTTTTTTTTTTTTTTTTTAATCTGAAACTAATTTAGGTTGGGTGCAGTATAAAGTTTGGAGGTTGTGATCACTTTAGGCAATTTTGAAGAGATGACAATTCATGAGTGAATAGGTAACAATAGTTATATGAAAGGGCATTATGGATTTCCAAGGTCACCCCAGCTAGTATTGTGGGTCGGCAGCCCTCTGTGTAGAAAAGAGTTCAGCAGGTGGTTGGTTCATCAGAGGGGTACTACAAAACCAGCGGCAAGCCTAGTGTCATTCTGTACCTGTTTTATATCTGAAACATCCCACATTTTTGCCTTAGCAGTCTGAGTTTCCAGTAGAGAAACTTCAAGGAATTCAGGGTTTCTGTCTCAGTGTTGAAATCTTTTGAGCAGCCAGCTTATTTCCCTATGATCTTAATGTACCCAGATTTCTGCTGAAACTGGTGCTACAGAGCGGTTCGTTGGCTTTCTTCAGTTCCTTTAGCAGTAGCTGGTTAGATGATGCTTATCTTTCTGTTTACATTCACAGACCACAGTTGTCTAATCAATGCAGCAGTTCCTTGACTTGCCCCTTATCCAGATCTCTCAGAATCTCTGAGGTTGGAATCTGTATTTTTAGCAGAATCCTTAGGAGATCTGATGCAGCCAACACTGCTCTTTTTGGATCTGCTTTCAGGAAGCACTGAGATGTCTTAGCCCTCCTCACCTGCTGGTTTTCCAGATACTGTAGCCCCAGATGGTTCTCACCTTGCTTTAGTGAGTGACTTGAGTGCAAGTGAGGGTTGAAGTGCCCTTTCCTAACCAGATCTACACTGACCCTGAGTGAAAAGCACAAACTCACAGATGCCACTAAGAATACTGCACTCCCCCTATTTGTATTAAGAGAGGGATCTGGTTAGTGAGTTTGAGGTGATTTGATGTGGTTTCACCTCTTTATTTGTCTCCTGCCTATTAGGAGAAGGCCCTAGCAGTCCAGGTTCTTGGATTCCATTAAGTTAACAATGTTAGTAATGTGATTAATGCACCACTGTAACATTTATTATACATCATTAGAATCTCATGGCTTCTGATTCTGATGATGTACTCTTCCAATCCGGGGGTGGGGTTTGCAAACTATGGCCCGTGAGCCAAAGACAGTTCCACTGCTTGTTTTTTAGGGCCTACAAGCTAAGAATGTTTTTGTATTTTTAAATGTTTTCTTAAAAATCAAAAGACAAATATTTCATGACACATGAAAATATAAGAAATTCAAATTCGTGTCCATAAATAAAGCTTTTTTATGTATTAAATATAAAACAGCCATGCTCATTATTTTATGTATTATCTCTGACTGATTTTTTGCTATAATGGGAGAGATGAGTACTTGCAATAAAAGCTTATGGCCTGCAAAGCTGAAAGTACAGTGTGATCCTTTTCAGGAAATCTTTGCCAACCCCTGTTCTAATCCCTACTGTTTATTTGATGTCTAGAAGGGGCCTTGTGAACTGGAAAGGTCCTGGCTAGTTTGAGAGACCTAGATCATAAGCCCTGTTTGGATACCAGGTAGCTGTGGGACCTTGGGTACTCTGGTTAGCTTCTGTGGGTCACTGCTTCCTTGTCTATACTGAGAGAGAGGTGCCACCGAGGGCCCTTCCAACTGCAGAATTCTTTGACTCTATGAAATATAAAGAATACCTCAAATGGAAACATTTAATGAGAATGTTGAGATTGACCCAGGAATCCTCAGTATCCATTTGATTTTATTTTTCTATCCAGAGCTCTTTCTCTAACCCAAATCAAGCTCCTGCCACTGTACATTAAATGCAACAGAGATGCCCTGCAGGACACAAACAAGTAGGGTCTCAGATGATACCATTTATTGTTCGTCAGCATCTCTGTTTTCTGGACTAATTTATAGGGTTGAATTGAAAAAGGAGTGGAAGAGAATTTGAAGCAGAAATATGGCTAAAACTCATGCTGTTGAGTCGATTCCAACTCTGAGCAACCCTACAGGACAGAGTAGAACTGCCCCATAGGGTTTCCAAGGAGCGGCTGGTAGATTCCAACTGCAAACCTTTTGGTTAGCAGCCAAATTCTTAACCACTGTGCCACCAGGGCTGCTTACCACATAGTTAGGAAAACTAAATACTTTTTTCTGAAAAATGTGTTTCCTGAATATGGGATAGTTTGTTTGTTGGTTTTATTGTTTATTAATAAGGTTTTAAAGATAGCTCCCTTCTATCTATAAATGGAATCTTCTTCACTCCAAAGAAAATCGGTGTGTTGATTATCTCTGAGTCAGTCATCAGGACCCACATTTAAGTTTGATTTCTGAGTCCTTGAAAGCTGTTGACCCATTCGCTTTTGAGTTTCATTCACCAGCTAAAAGGCCAAGCATCAGGGTGGGGGAAGTGAAATTTGAAATTTAGTGGGCTTGGAAATACACAGATTTATAATCAGCTTGAGGGCTCAGAGGATTTGTGAAATCGTTTTGGATTAACAGCCATTGATTGCTAATAAAACAATATTTAGCTTTGTCCAGAGAACAGCAATGGAGAAAGGTATGGGCACCTTGTCAACAGGGCCCATTGAGCAGGGATGATGGGCTAAGTGTGGGGGTCTCTGCAGCAGCGTGGGTGCTCGTCCTTCAAGGAGCGGTTGTCAGTTGTTAGCAAGGCCAGTGAAAGGAAGGACGCCAGCGTCTGATGGCTGGGGTGGTATTGATGTGCCTTAGCTGACTAATCAGATTGAAAAAGTCCCATGGTATTTATGTCACTTTAATTTTCATCAAACAATTGGAGACGACAGCACTCTATTACGGAGAGGTGGATCCAGAACTAAAGCCAAATAAATTAGAGTCTCAGTTTAATCAAATTATCCGTTTACTGGCCCTGGATTAAGTGAGAGAGACAGCGTCGGTCTAGAGAGTTGCGATTGGCTGAATCTTTCCCTTTTTTTTAAAAAAAGAAGCTGATGAAAGAAAAAGCATTTTCACGGAGACAACAATGATAATCCTTCCAAGCAATAGTGCTAAAAATTT